TGCCCGGGTTACATCTAGATTAGATTATCGCAACACATTTTACACAGGACTACCCTTGAAAACTGTTCAGAAACTTCAATTGGTGCAGGATGTTGATGTTAGAATGTTGGTCGGGACTAGGGATGGGCACAACCAGGAAAATGGAGGTTTGTGGTGGTTCATGGGCTCTCATGAACCACAGTTAGCGCACCACCATGAAGTTTTCCATTTAACTAATCAGTTTGGGTTCGTAAGGTTCGTGCAGCTTCCAAGTGGGGGGGGGGAGCCAAAGGGATTACTGAACTGGCTTGCATCTATTTTATGAAAGCCATTTCAGTGATGCCTTTTTAGTCCCCCACTTCTAATAGATGTAAGTCAGTTCAGTGATGCCTTTCACTCCCCCCCCACCGCAGAAGCCCACTTGCATCAGCCCACCACAAACCCTCGTACAAACTGAATGAGCCACTGCAAAAATCATGGCAGTTCATGAGTGGTTTGCAAACAGAGTAATTGCATGAATCGCTGATCATGAGCACATGAACCAGCCCAGTTCATCACAAAATTTGGTTCATAATTCAATTCATGCCCATCCCTGGTAGGGACCATAGCATTCTAATCTTGGCCCATCTACAGTAGCTTCCTATCTTTTTCTAGGCACAATTCAAGGTGGTGATCTCGAACTTCAAAGCCCTATATGGTTTGGGACCAATATACCTGAAGGACTGCCTACTTCCTTATGAACTTTCCCAACCTCTATGGCCATCTTTGAATGTCCTGCTTCCAGTGCCCTCACTAGGTTGGGCAATGGGGCAACCCAGAAGAGGGCCACCAAAGCTCTGGAACACTCTCTCCAGGGAGGTTCATCTGTCTCTTTCTATTGGTGTCTTCTGCCAGCAAGTGAAGACTTTCAGTTTCATTTGGTGTTCCTTCAGTGATCCATCCTTCCAGACCAATGTTTCAGTGGTTTCTATGTCTTTAAACGTACTCCAGTTCTGGTATTAATTGCTTCAATAACATGCTGTTTTTCTTTTTTTGTTGGGCTTAAAATGTGATTTAATTATGTTTGTTTTAATTTGTTATCCTCCTTGTTGGACCCAATGAAGGCAAAAAGGTGGGATATACATTTTGTAAAATAAAATAAATAAATCCATTCCTGTTGGCTGAAAATAGCAGAGGCAAGCAATTCTCAAATTTTAGCAATCCAGGGACCCTCCCCTTCTTCTCACCAGGGTCCATCATCTACCACAGAGTTCCTTCCAAAATACACAGAGTTGGGCATACTCCATGAAGGCCTCTGTCTTCCAATAGTTAAGTCACATTAGTTACACTTAAATTTTAGTAAAATGGCTGTATTCTCTGTACATGGTCTACATGTCAGGGCCCAGAGGGTAGTTGATTCAACAGAACCACAACTCAAAAGACCTTGACCCAAATTCTAACCAATCTCACCCCTTGATTGGAAAGGACTTTGTGCGAGACACAAGATACTTCCTTATTGGTTAACGGCTTCTGTTCAGAGGTTGGCTGAACAGGGATGGGAAGTGCCTTAGAAAAACGTTCAGATATGCTTACAGAAAAAAGGCAGTGCCACGCAAAGCCTAGATTTCTGGTATTCGGTTTAAAAACTTCACTGGCTATCGTCTTCTCTGGATACAGAGTGCAATGTGTCTATTTCTCTGATGAAATTGATTGCACTGGGGGGATTGAAAACCCGTTCATTTTTATACCTGAAGTAACGATGAGGACTATATTACTGTACTTCCTTAGTGCCATTCAACCCAATAGACTTTCTATGGGTGAGCTATTGATTCCTGGCAACCAATCAGGGCATTTTCTGAATAGAACTCTAGGATGAGTTCTACAGTGACCTAAATGCTACGTTCTGCAGGTAGTGGCATCTGTACTAGTTCCTACACTTCAAACAGGCATCTTCCCATAAGACAAAAGGTCTCCTATTCCTAGGAAATTGAAAGGGCAACCTTTTTCACATTATGTTGTCGAAGGCTTCTACGGCCGGAGTTCACTAGTTGCTGTAGATTTTCCGAGTTGTGTGGCTGTGGTCCTGGCATTGTAGAACCTGACGTTTCGCTAGTAACTGTGACTGGCATCCTCAGAGGTATAGCACAGAAAGATGGGAGTACTCTCTGTGTCACATTATCTAGATAAGCAGAGGAGAAACTCAGTCTCTGTCTTAAAAAAGACTTGGACACCCCCCCCCCAAGAGTGGGCAAGAGTGGGAGGGCTTCTAGTGTCCTGGCCCCACTGCTGGACATCCTGATGGCACCTGGTATTTTTGGTCACTGTGTGACAAGAGTGTTGGACTGGATGGGCCATTGGCTTGATCCAACACTGGCTTCTCTTATTGTCTTACCTTGCAGAACCTCAGGAATCCCCAGATTTGCAAGAAACCCATATTAAAGTCAGGCCAGCCTATTTATTTATTTATAGTGAATGATTCGCTTCATCCGTGAGACCTCTTCAGCTACATCCATATCTTTAGAAGTCTTTGAAACACTAGTTTCCCTCTGCAGGAATAGGGGTGTGCTATCATTATCTCCAAGCAAATTTTCAGTAGCTGCTACTGCATGGCAGGATTTTATCTACTTAGATTTAAAAATGCAGCAGTTACCTTTAGATATAAAATTTACTATTAGGTGTGGAGAAACGCCATCTTACGTATGTGTTTAAGTTGGTGTGGGTCATATAGGAGGAGACCATCAAACTTGGGGTAGGCCTGGGCCTAGTCTCCTCCTCATTCCCCTCTCCCCTCCTGTCTCCAACCAGCAGTCTAAGGGCAGCTCCCTAGAGAGGACAGGAAGTCCCATCAAGGTGGTAAAGAGATCTGCCCCAGAATGCTTCAGGAGGGAGAGCCAGTTCCTGGGCGGAAAACTGCTGTTTTTTATAGTGGAGTTTTGGGTGGGAAGGCAGTCTATCAGAAGTCAGACAGTCTGTGAGAAGTCTGAAGCCAGTCAGACTTTTGGTTGGAGTCTGCAGGAGGCAGAGGCCATGTTGGGAGACATACTGATCTAACCTTCTCCAATGAAATGAAGCAATGTGCCTGCCCTGCAGACCATCTAGACAGGGTATGAGTGTAGAGAAGGGAGAGATGGAGCGGTTTTGTCATCTTTATGTTTGATTCTTCAGTTCACTGTATGCTTATAAATAGTTAAGTGTTTTCAAATAAATCCTTTGAATGATAAAGGAGATCCCTCTGTACCACCTAGTTCCCCCAGCTGCCTGGGTACGCTAGGGGTGGGTCAGGGATTCCCTGAGGAGAACAGGGGCAAATAGGCCAGTTGCCAGTTCTCCAGGGGAGCCACAAAGATTGTCAGGAAGCCCCAGGGTGGGTTCCTAGTGACACCGGAGGGAGGTTAGAAGGCTGTCCCGCTTAACCAGAGCCCAAGAGAGGGACAGTGGTGGCAGCAATACCCGGAGGCAGTGGAGAAGAACTGCCCCTTCAGGTGCCAGGTCAGGCAAAGGAGGCGTGGGCAGAGCGGGGCCTGCCAGCTGATGTAGGCCTGTTCCGCCACAGGTAACATGTAATATACAATACTTCCAACGGTTGGGAATAACAGGATAACTTCATTTTCTACATTCCAAGGTGTGCATGTGCGTACATGCGCACACCCACAAACACACACCATCTTTTCTTACCATAGAAGCTTAGCCAAGATGCATGGCTGCTGTAGACTGAATCCTGTTACAGTGATTTTAATATGATCATTTACTCTACAGGAATTGATCAAACAAGCTAACACTGTCCCAGTAGAAAAGAGCAAGAGTCCAGTAGACTAACGAACTTTGTGGCAGGGTATCAGCTTCTGTGATCTGAAGAAGTGAGCAGTGAGTCATGAAAGCTCATAGTCTGCCATAAAGTTTGTTAGTCTTTAAGGTGCTACTGGACTCTTGCTCTTTTCTATTGCTACAGACAGACTAACACAGCTGCCGATCTTGATCTAACACTATCCTAGTACAAGTAATTGTCAAAAGGGCTCAACTTGTCAATGAAGTCCAAAACCACTACATAAAAGTAAAGGTTTCCCTTGCTCGAAAGCTAGTCGAATCCAACTCTACGGGATGGTGCTCATCTCCATTTCCAAGCCGAAGAGCCAGCGCTGTCTGAAGACGTTTCCATGCTCATGTTGCTGGCATGATTAAATGTCGAGATGCACGGAACACTGTTACCTTCACACTGAAGCGGTACCTATTTATCTACTTGCAATAGACAGCCACTATTCTAAAGATTGTCCAAAGCTTGACAGCTCTGTAGTTTATAAAGCATATATAAAGTATATAAAGCATATTTCCACTGAGCTCACATGACAGGAAATATTGGTGGCCAACCTAGCTCAACAGAAGCTTTTATATGTGCCAAACACAAAACTGAGTCTTTTGAGACTACAGACCTACTTGATCATGATTTTTCTTAAGTAAAACAAAAGTCAACACTTCCAAATTGCTGTAATATATATTTTAATTCAAAGTGAATCTCGACAGTAATACACCATAAATTCTTATTTTGACACTCACCAAAATAGTCACCTGGAAAACCCGCTTTTTGTGACAAAGTACAGAAGGCTTGGTCACATTTAAATCACTGAGAACTAGAGAGAAATACTATCGCAAACTGTAGGAAACATTACATCCATAAAAATTTTCCCAGTCCTCTTATTGTAATATTGCACAGTGCAATTGCTACATGGCAAACTAGTGTAGCACATAAATCAAGAACAAAAAGCCACAAGTCTACAAATAATTGTTAAACTGTAACAGTTCAAACTTAGTAACCAAATCTTAGTTCTAAAACAAATCTTTCTACAGCTCGCAGTGTGATTTAGCTTTTACTCAACACAAACCAACTTAAAATTAGCAGTAAGTAAATATTAAAAATAATTAGTTAATACAGTAGTATATTTGATCAATAACACACCCTGAATTAAAGTTAAAAACTGAATACAAAGAAGTCATATAAAATTAACCTCCAAATTAAAAATAGTATGCAATTTTGTCATTATGCAGTGTTTTATTTAAAAGGCATTAGATCAATAAAGTGTGTATATGGGACAACTTTTCCAGATTTATACCCTTGTCTTGCAGGCAGTTCTGTAGAGAAAGACAGTTGGCCCTCTGAAGCCACAAGCTATTTACTCCACAGCAAACAGAAGTAAAAAAAAAACTGCTGAAGAGTAAGCGTTTTGAACTACAGGGATGGCAAAAATTCTGGTACTTCTCGGAAATTCTCATTACAGAACTGGTTATAGAGTCATATATTATGTTCAAGGTTGGTTGTGGCAGATCTCAGTTTCTTTTTTATCATCATGAAAGAATAAAAAACACATCAAGAGCCACGAGCTTTACTTGGGGCATATCAATAGCAGAGGCTTCATGTTTCAGCTTGGCTTAATGTGCCAAGTAAAATTAGCTTTATATCCTAAGTATAATTTAACAGTACAATAAATACTTAAGAGCAAGAAAGGGTCCAAGTAAATTTAAAAAGCAATTTTTGTTATCTTTACAGAAAAGTCAACTTCTGGTGCTCATAGTTTTTTTTTTTTACTGAGTCCACTGCCAGCAATGGAAATCACACCAAGAAGCCCCAATTCTCTATGTTGAGAATAGAAAATCAGAATTTGCTGAATCACAAACACTGAGGAGCAGGACCTGCTTGACTGTTCTTGACTTCATCTATTTAAACTTTAGTATGTGCTCAAAATGTTGCACTAAGTCAGATTATTCGTGCTTTATATATGTATATATACACACACGCACAAACAATTTGTATTTATATAAAATGCTGTTTATGAAAAACCACTGAAGCCAAAATCCAGAGAACTCTTTTAGGTAGCCTCCAGAACTCATCCATGTCCAGTGGAACTTTTTACTCTTCATTTTGCAGCCTCTCATGCCGTATCACAAACTTCTTTTTAAACTTCCCCAAAGTTTAAAAAAAGCTTTTCTGATGTAAAACAGAAGCTTTCTAGAAAAAGGACAGTCTATCAAAAGCTCCACTGGGCATGCAAAATTATACCTGTGGCTCTCAGGCTGTGGCCCAAACTTGTAGGAAATATTACAGTTTAATTTCATTTTCAGCCATTAAAATGTACTGCTGGTTTTTGGTTGTGTGAATACTGCTGTATTTCAATCCTTTAAAGTAAATCAAATGTAGGTACATTCATTTCACTTACACATACATTAAATAAAACACTGCTTGTGTTAATGGAACAAAGAAAAACCTGTTAGTAACTGAGGCTGCAATCCTAAACACATTTACCTGGGAGTAAACCCCATTGAATACAAAAGGACATATTTCTGAGTAAACATGTTTAGGATTGAGCTTGAGAAACACTTTGCACTCATATTCCAGTCCATGCTGAAAGAACTGTATTCCAGAAACTTTTGTTTATAAAAAGTCAAGCCACCAAGATACAGTTTTAAGTGTCTACACAAGTGAATATGAACACATAAAAATTAAATTACATGGATACAACCACTTATATGCAGTGATAGTTAATGGAGATAAAATACTGATGCAAATAACACCCCAAAATAACATACGCATTTCCTTTCATCATTTACAATATAATAGTTACACTCCAAACATAAAAGCAAACAAAACAAATCAACCCCCCTTCCATTTCATGTAATTAGACTTATACAGAAAATAGAAGGCTAAGATCTAGTTAAATCACCTCATTTCACAGCTATCTGAAGTGGCAATCATTATATAGCAGCTTTATCTATGATACATTCAAGATAAATGATACAATTTATTACTTGCCTCATAAGCTAGAACACAGCCTCACGTTAATAACTTCCTTTAAACCCATTGCTAACACTACAGTTACAGTATACTTGAGGTCTATGAAAAAGTAGCTACCTTTTATAGGAAATGGATGATTAAGATTAAGTCTTTGGTGCTGCAAAAGCAATTTTACTTGAACATGAACAAAAAAAACCAAAACCCCAACCACACAAAAAAAAAAAGCCCTCGGGGGGGGGGGGGATGTAATTTATTGTCCCTGACGGAATGTATTAAATAAGAAAACATCCCAAAAGGCTAGAACAAATACTATAATGTAAAAAGACTAAAATCTCTCTCATGCATAAATGAAAAATTGCACACAAGGTACTCACATCTTTTCAAGCTTCAATAGTAAATATTTCGCTACTATTTATTAAATACTGCATGGTTTGCTCAAGCTAAGATGAAACCACAGCATGAATCAATGAGCATTTTGCTTTATTCTTTCATAATCTACCCAAGTCATGCCTACTGCACCTCTAAACAGGATATAAAATCCAATTTGACATAAACACTTCGAAAATAAACTACTTGGATGTATTGCAGTTCCACTGAACAGTATAAAACACAATTTTATTTGTTTTTTTAAAACAGCTACTGAATCAACTTTTCCTAAAGCACTACAAAATGCTTTTCTTAAAGCTGATCATTCTGGGGAAAAGTATCAGACAGCAGAATTCAGCTACAGCAAAACATGCTGCCTTCTAGATAAACAAAACACACTCAGTACTAAAATCATACCCCACACACACACACACACACACACCCCTAAAAAAAGAGCATTACTTTATCAAATAATCAGCAAATCTGAATGTTAAGTGCTGCAGTCCTCAACATTTATAATATAATAACATTGACAACCTCAAATATTTAAGGCACTATGTGTGGAAACAGTTTACAATGCAGCTGAGATTATTAGGACACCAACATTTAAGAGCAATTTTCTAGGCAACTTTATTTTTGCCCATGCAAAAGGACACATGCAATGTGAATAACAGCTCAACCTCTTTAGATAAGTGACTCGACGCAGAACACCAAGATACATAATACAAACAAGTTACTCATACATGATACTGATGACACATGTGCATCTGTTGCTCTAAATCTGTACACTCAAATGGCTTCCCAAATGTAGACGTGTCTCGCACTAGTTAGAAGGCAATTGTATAAAAAATAGTAGGAGCAAAACTGGTTTTCTGCTCCCATAAGTCACCTGTCTGGAGTTACTCTATAAGAAGATAACATGACTAAAGACAAGTTATACCAAATGTGCAAAAACACATTAAAAGTGAGTTAAAGCTCAAGGTTGTTTAAATTGCACCCAAGTCTAACATGATTAAAAAAAAAATAATTTTCTTGTGCCATGGCTAATATTTATTAAATACCATGTTCTTCTCTCAAATCAACGCATGTTTCATTGAGCTTCCTCAGCATGCTGAACTTGAATTCTCACATAAATGGATACTGGCTGAGTTTTGTCGGACTCAATGGAAATCCTGTGTAAGCAGGGGATGTTATGTAAGAATGTGGCGGGAAAATCGGTTTGTACTGAGTCTGATGGATAGTTGGGGAGGGTAGTAGTCTGGGGTTTATGCCCATTGGGACTTGGTGAACTATGCCATTGTGATGAGATATACTGAAAGTGGGATGCTGTAATATAGGTCTTGAGGTACACGGTGAGGCTAGGATGTGTGCCACAGGAGCAGCAGTACTAAGAGGTGCAGATGACGGATAAGGTAAAATAGCAGGCTGCCCTCCAAGATGTGCACTTCCAGCCAGATGTGCATGAACCGAGGTATGAGTGGGACTTCCATGCTGGAGAGAGAATGCATGACTGGCCACACTGGCTGGGATATAGGCCTGCTGTCTCCAGGGCCCACAGTTTCCATTCCACTCCTGAGTCCCAGATCCAAAGTGTTGAACCTGCACCAAGAGGAAACGACAGTTAAGTTTCAGATAATAAATACAATCTTCCACCACATCCAAAGTGGCCTGTGCTGCCTCTATCTCCACACAATCTTCCTGTTCCCAAAAATGCTGCCTATAACATCCCGAGGGAGAGATTTCCTCCTCTTTTCTCCTCAACATTTCATAATGTTCTACAAGATCAATAAAGGGTCCCCTTTATTCCAGCATTTTTATTTACTTTATTTATAGTCCACTTTTCTCACTGAGACTCAAGGCAGATTATAACATTTAAAACCGCAACAAAAACAGTATAAGACATAACATATGAGAAACGCGAAAACTAGATTGCATAATTAGAAAATAATGCAGTAAGAACAAGATCATGCATACAATAAAACACTGCCATAAATGACAACCTTGCCCCTTTGTAAAAGCATCCTTCTGAACACTTCCATTTAATGCATTCGATGGAATTACAGAAACTTTCCTGATATTCTGAGGCAGGTCATTCCACAAATGGGAGCCAAAACAGAGAATGCTTGGGTACAGGTTGCTGCTGATCTTAAACAACTGCAAGGTGGCACCTTCAGAAAACTTTGCTCAGTTGAGTGCAGCTGTTGCAATGGGGCCTATCAGGAGAGGTGGTCTTTTAGATATTAATCCTAGCTATGAAGGATATGGTAGACGATAGTAAACTCCTTGAACTGAGCTCTAAGACTAAATGACAACCAATAGAGTGACTGCAGAACATGTGTAATATGTATTCTCTGACCAGCTCTCAATTGTAACTGAGCTGCAGCATTCTATACCAACTGGAGTTTCCAGGTTGTCTTCAAGTGTAGAACCATGTACAGTGTATTGCAATAGTTGCCGTCCCCGTCTTCTTTGACCAATGAATGTAGGCACGTGAATGTTGCCTACATTCAAATAAAGATAATCCGCTAACACTGCCGGTGCGGTCTTTGTCCCACAGCTCAGCCTTAAACCAGTCCGAACGGAGCCAAAAGTAGATGACTTCTCCAGGAAGACCTTGAGTCGTTCTGCAACCACCCTTTTAATCATCCTGCCCGGAAAGAATGAATTAGGGACTGGCCACAAGCCACAACCAATGTCCTCCGGTGATTTATTTTTTTTTTAAGTGGTGAACAACCACCTCTTTTAATGACTGAGGAAAGGTACCCTGAGTCAGTAACTGATTTCTGACGGACATCAGGGGCTCTCTGATTCTGCACTCTGGCATGTTTAACAAGGCAGAAGAACTCAGTCTAGTGTTTTAATAATTTTATTATTACCATTTTGTATATTTTTCTGTACAGAACCTCTCTTTTATGCATCCAAGGTATTAGCGATATTCCTGACAGCTGATCTTGGATCATAATAAGAAACTAAAGGTATCTTGAGGAAACTGTTTCGCAGCTCCCACACAGTTCACACCAAGCACAGGATATCTTGGCATATAGATGTTGATGGTATTTGCTACACAGCTCGTGAAACTAGACTGCAGCCAGCAAGAATCCCACTTTATAGACGCTATTTGAAATATAAGCATAGTTCAGCAGACCACAGTGGCAGTCCTTTAAATATGTATTTTTACATCAAAAACACCATCTTGATGTTATTTATTTATTTATTTCATTTATACCCCGCCCTCCCCGCACGCGGGCTCAGAACTTACTCCTTATTGCTTTCCTTACTATACAAGGAAAGCAATAAGGAATAAGTGCAGATCCCCACGGAGTGATGCCAGTGCTCTTACCCCTCATCAGGAAAGCTAAATTCTGTACGAACTGCAGCCACCAGATAATTATGGCTTATCTCACATAAAGAATGCCAATCACCTTTCTCAGATATCTGAACCACTGGTAATGTGGTTAAAAGCAGTTTGCTTTGCAGATCAGATACTGTAACGGTAGCTGGGTGAACTTGAGTTATGGGTGCTTATAGATTTCAAAGGATGAGATGGTTAGACAGTGCCATAGATGCAGCGAACATGAAATTGAGTGAACTCCAGAGGACAGCAGAAGACAGGAGGGCCTGGCGTGACCTGGTCCATGGGGTCGCGAAGAGTCGGACTGAACAACAACAAATAGGTTTCAAGACGGCGTCCAAACACATTCTGGGGTATTCATATCTATATATTAGAGTTTGCACACGTACCCGACTGAGGTTTGAGTGCTGCTGATGGAATGCCGATGTCAATTTTCGTTGACGATTACCAAAGCCCGAAGGGTGGTTTGTTTTTGTACGGGCAGATCGACGTTTTACCAGTGGTTGGCAGGCGGCATCTAACAAAATATAAAGACAGGTCAAAAAGATGTACTACAAAGGTACTTTCAATATTTCAATTAACTACACATGTAAAACATCTCTATTCTGGCTATTAACTGTAAACACTGTGTATGTTGCCGAATTCTATACGGGTGTTCTACTGGTAGTGGGGCAGAGGCCTGATTATTTTTTGGTTTGGGCACAGTATAAAAACGAGTTGACAGAAATACAAAGCCATAACAGAACATGCCAATGTAGTGAAACGAGTAAGTTCTGATTACCTTTGCGTATCATTTGCTCATCTGCATCTAATCTGTTCTCTATCGTCATTGGTGGCACCACCACAGTGCAGACAGCTGGTTTGGCTTCCAAATTCGTTGAGGTTCTTGTTTCTGGGTTTTCCCTGGTATCTTCAGCAAAATTGTTTTGTAGGAATGGGCTGTCATGGCCTGAAGAGTCTGAACTGGGGGAGCCATCCACAGTATCACAGCCACTTTCTTGATCATCATCTGACATACTATAGTACAGCAGTAAAGTAAAGCAATATTACAAATGGTAGGTTCTGTTATATGAGATTTATAGCTTGTCCTATCAGCTAGAGTGTATTCCTCCTACAGTATACATACAAGAAAGATGGATGCAAAAATAAGTAAAATTAAAATCACAGGACATATTTAATATTTTAAATTCTCTTGTTTGAAATTGACCTCCTTAAAATTCCTGACTTGATCTGCAATCAAAAAAATAGAGGCAGATTTCAATATATGAACAGTAGGGGGGGAAACAGAAAAGTATGAACAACTCTAGAGCCCAAAGAGTTCCAAACTGCAGATAAATGAAAACTTTCAACATTTCATCCAGACAATATGAATAGGGATGTGCTGACCTTGCATAAAATTTAATCATCCTCATGACATCTTTGCAATCTCAGTCATGATTTTACCCAGGAACTGTTTTAAGCAACTTCAGCTTCCCATAATTCAGAGTCCAGCAGAATATTGATATGGTCCTCCGCTAACCACTGAAACATCCATGGCACACTGCCAGCCCTTACTACTGACTTTTCCTTCCCAATACATTCCTCACCTCTCACAACTGCAGAAATGCATTTCACTGAAATCAGTGGTTCTTACTTTCACTGCAATATATTTCAGATTGAGGGCAAAGTGTTTGAAAACAGGCTTTGCTGCAGTGGTACATGAACAAATACTCATAATACAATAATTAGTATGGTTACAAAAAATGCCTGATTAGGAAAATCAGAGGGCTATCCTTGTCAGTCACAATAAGTAATTTCAACAAGTCTTGATACTTTCTAGGTCATTACAAGAGCTGTCCTTTTCTAGATGTTAATTTGCATTATTGAGTTTACTACCAACAGCGTCTGCTGGTCAGGAGAGTGTCAATGCATTACGTATTCGTTTGTGCTCTTCACTGTACTGTGACAGCTCTCTCTGGCGTTCCTTACTTTTTTTTCTTTATATGGCCATTTCCCTCCTGCTGTCTATTTCCACCACAAAGCTGTGTTAGTTTCCACATGCCACAAGACCCCTGGTGGTTTAAGTACTTAAAAAAATCCCTGACAGTCAAGAGTGTTTTGTTTAAATTAAGGCATGAAAACCTTGAAATGCTGAAGAAGAAAAGCCTCACAAGTGTTTTCTGAGTAATGCAGGATTAGTAGAAGAACCCACCCCCACCCCGGTGTTAAGCACATTGGTACAGCACAGCACTCCTTCAAAAGCAGACTGTGCAAGCCTGAAAATTGCCCATTCCTGGTATAATTCACATTGTGAGAGGTTCTACCCTTCCAGAACAAGTGATCACGTTGAATAATTTATGTTCTAAAAAACACTGTCAGTAAAACTAGCTAGCTTCCCACTTGTGAGTGCCAACCACTTGAAGACCAGGCATCCAGATACTGTGTTCCTCTGGTTCCTGAACAAGATCCTTTTATATCCTGGCTGCAGCAACCAAGAAAAACAGCAGAGATACTTTTATTTATTTATTTATTTCTAAGAGGAATTACTAAATTGCTAGACAATGTATATGGCATGAAACAATTTAACATTTTCAGTGCTGATCATTTTAGTGCAGTATTTAAAAATAGGGAAATCTACACTTAAGCAATTCTTCTGCCCTACTATTTCAGATACATACATAACATAGAAGGAAGCCAAATACTACATGTGGTTCCAGCCCAATGGGCAAAGTAGTTTCTAGCAGAATATACCCCCAAAAAAAGCTCAGGAACCGTAGGGCCCCAACTGCAACAAGCAAGCTAAGAAAATACAAGGCAGAATAATTTCCAGG